ATAAAAACCTGACGAAATTCTTTATAATCCATTATACAGATCTTGTTATCAGTCACTTCATATAGTGAGGAATATCGTATCTTACCACGTCTTAGGCTTGCGTGTGTTTCTCCCTGTCTATCCACATTTGTAGTCCGGCTTTCAAGATGCAAATATCTCCATATTGTCCAGTTGACACTCGTCAAACTTTGTATGACAAGACCAGCCACTTCACCTTTGCGCACCCAGACAACTGAGGCCTAATTATGCATACTGACAGGGCCGTAGTCACCATATACACTGATGGGGACATGACATGATGGCAAATCTGGTTAGCCCAGAAAAAAACAACAAAACAAGATATAGCATGTGTATGTAGCCTTTATAATGACTGTGATATGAGCTTAAAAGTAAAGGCAGTAAAAATATCCCAAAAACGCCTAAGGTCCATAGGGTTAAGTAATTTAGTGTCTTTTTTAAGTAATTTTCTGTCTCTTTGTGGTTGTTTTGCCCCTCTTTGTAGTTATTTTGTGTCCCTTCGCAGTTCATTTGCATATCTTTGTAGTCATTTTGGCCCTCTTCCTGCCTGGTACATGTTAATTTGAGTGACATGTTGCAGTTAAAGGCCAAAGGGCCTCCCTTACACTTTGAGCTCCTAGGCCTGTGCTCCGTAGGCATGTTCAATAATCCTCCCATGATTACTGTCATGTCTTTAAAACTCACCTGGAAGAAAATCAGTTGCTTTTAGTCCTGTTTAGAACATGACCAAAATGAATTTCACAACAACAAACACTTGATCCAGAAAATAAAAAATCACCTGTTTATGGGTTGAGACTGTTTGACAGGAAGGTAGGAGGCTCAGTTATCTGTGAGTGTAGCTGTGCTTTAAGTAAACAGTCTGAAGTCAGATCAGTTTTCTCTGATAGAAATATTAGAAAAATGATCCTGACAAAACTTTCCCCCACCTGTTTCACTGATGAAAAAAAAACCTTGAGCAACTTAGAAAGTTTATCCTGGCAAACCTTCTCCCACCTGTTCTTGAGTCATAAGCACAGGAGGAAAAACAGTTTAGATCAGACTCAGAAACTGGACCACATGATGTGTTCTGACTCGCCTCCTAGGGCCTATGTACAAACTGTAGCTCCAACTAATGTGCCATTTGATTCACTTAAATACCTTCTTGTGAGATTTAAATGAGAGCATCAACACACTCACCAATCTGTCCGTCAAATATGGAGCTACAGAGTCAGGAGACAGTTAGCCTAGCTTAGCATAGCCTAGCCTAGCTTACCAAAGACTGGGAAAGAGATGAAGCAGCTAGCGTGGCTCAGTCCAAAGTGAACTGATCTGCCCATTAACACATCTAAAACTCATTAATTAGCTTGTCAAATCTCTTTCATAAACAGAAATGTATGAATTGCAAGTTGTGGTTTACAGAGAGAAGAATTACAGAGCCATTGACTTCCTGAGTTCCTGTGTCAGAAATCACTCCCTATTATCCCCTATTGTAATCACTTAGTGCACGTTACTTATTAATATTGTGTACTTGTATTTGTACATATATATATCATTCCACTGTGGGACTTTTGGAAGGGCACTTTGTGTGGTGCAAAAAGCTCACATTCAGAATTTGTACACTCAAAGAAATACAGTGCACTATGTCGTAAATAGGGAGTGATTTAGGACAAAGACTACACTTTATAAATGTCCATTTTAGCAACCAAACAACCAAATGTGCCAGCGTAACAGTAAACTGAAATTCTTTGGTCATCTGTGGGGTAAAACAAACTCTCTACTTTGAAATCAAAGTTTTGAAAGGCACCAGAAAGTCAGCTAAATCCTTTGTTCTCTATCCAAAGTGCTTCAGAGCTCATTGATACTGTACTCTTAAGTACATGTGCCAAGTCATCAAGGAGAATAGTGGTCGGCAGATTGAATAGGAGCAAATGTTAATGGAGTTCTTTCACACAAGAGTTACATCGGCTCCTGTAAAAGGATGGCAGAACACCGCTGTAAGCCTTTTCTTACCTCGGATACTTCACATTAAAAGTCCATTATATTGCAGGTGAATTACCGTTGACCTTATTTGCACAGTCGCCATTTTGGAGAGCTTTGGTGGGAAACTATGTTGACACACTGAAAGTTAGTTTAAAACTAAGGGTTGGAAATTTGTGGCAATCTCAGCAACTACCACGACTGCTTGAAAGTATGCAGTTATTAAATTAGAAAACTTACAGTTCATAAGAGCTGACATGAGACTTGGACTCGTGTCTGACTCAAGTAATGTCACTGACCATTACCTCTCATTGAGTGGGTTTACATGGATAGTTTAATTCCCTTTTCATTCGTAATGAAAGTTCATTCCTATTAAAAGTGATCTTGTAAACACCTAATTTGGAATGAAAATGGCCAATGCGATTGAAAATTCAATCCGATGTAAGGAGCTGGAATATTCTAATTCTGAATGAAAGAATTTCTCGCACTTGTATACACTCATTCCTCTTTTTCCGGTCTTTCTGCGCATGCTCGTTTCCTTGCCCTTCTGGCGCGATGACGCATATAGCGCGCATAGCAACGGGCTGAGATAGAGCAGTCAGACTCGTTGCACTCACCGGTTTCCATTCGCCACAGCACGGTCTTCTATCTCCCTTCTCCTCCTCAACAGAAAAAGCATTAGCAGAACAAGGTTGTTGTCGTACTGCTGCTTCAAGAATATAAGCAAAACATGCCCGAAAAAGGCACTAAGAACGGCGTCGTCAAGCATCTTGTTATCCGGAGCGAGGACTACCGTGTTTTCTTCAGGTAAACGTAAACACGTAACATCCGCCCCGCCCCCTATCCAATCAGAAACCTTCCCTGCCCCAAACCTTGCGCAGACCCGAATAAAGGCGATTAAACTGATCTTCCACGTAAACCCTCATTAAGAATGAATATTTCCCATGTAAACTACCTGGAAAGACTTTAATTCCGAATGATTTCATTCAGATTTATTTCATTCTGAATGAGAAGCCATCATGTAACCACACCCATTGACCTATTTGACCGTACAGATGCTTTTATACTTGCAAGCAAGTGTTAAATACCTCGTTTGCATTGGGGAAAAAACACATTTGGTGTGATTGGGGCCATTTCCAGCCGGTACACAACTGACCTTCAACATTGAAATGTGGTTGAAATTAAGTAATTGCAAGTTGTTTCAACATTAAAACAACATTGGGACAATGTTTAATTCTGATGGTTGTAAACAGGTTAAATAAATTCTCATAAATCAACATTGAAGATCTGTTTCAACACTGAAACAATACTGAAACATTTAAAGTTTTTGACAACATTTGGAAATCAATGTTGATTCATCTTCCAAGCTAACATAATTCAACAGTGATTCAACCATGGTGTATGATGTTGATTCAGTGAATAAACATTAGAATGCCAGCTGGGGTGACTTTGACTAGTCCTTTAAAAGACTTGACTATGACTTGGTACACATGACCTAACAACAGCTCTGGTAAATACAGCTTTGGCTACAGCACAGTAGCTATTTGAAAGACACTGGTAATAGGAAACAAATATTACATTCTTGACATATGGTTCTAATGTGTTTTCCAAGGGATGTTAAAATGATTTAAAATACAGTTCACGCTGTTTATTTGTTTGAAATCTTTTAAACTGAGTTGCTGGCTGAGACAAACAGCCCCTCCTCTCTCTACCAGCACTGATGTTACCTGCACACAGTGAATCACATTAGGACAGAGGACAGGAGGAATAACTTACAGTGACAGATAAAAACTAAACCTCACTAAGTATTGCGATGTCAGGAAAATTATTTATATAGTGGCATTGCTGTTGTAAATATGACAGTTGCTGCTCTGGGGGAAAAAAAACATGTTATATTTTAAGTATTTAATGATCCTGTTCTGAATTTATTCTTTTTTAAATCAATATATATTTCTAAAAAGCAATTATTTAGAAATGAAAAAAGACTATAAGAGTACTGATAAAGTACTGAGTCAATCAGGAGTATCAATAAGAGCAGTAGTATCAATAAAATCTTAACAATACCCATCTACCTCACCTCTAGATGCCACTAAATGCTACACACTGGACCTTTAAGTTTGAAATACATGCAGTTATATTCACCAGTAATTTAACCCATAGGTAACCTTAGCCATTGACTCAAGTCCCAGATGTGCTGTGGACGCTTACAATTCTCACACTACTTAAAGTCCATGACACGTAATATGCATTGCAGATTGTGTTTATTCATTTGATGATACTGTATTTTAGTTTGGGCGTATGCTTTCAGAGAAACGCAGTGTAAGGTAACTGGGAAACGTGACATGCTTCCTAAAATATGCAGCAAGGTACGATAAAGGAAGACAGATAGCAGAAAGCAAACTTTGAGGGAAGGAAACTCAGACAGAGGGAAAGTGTCTGCAGAAATAAATGTGACATATGGAGGTTTGCATTCTGATGAGTGTTGCCTGTGGACGTCTGTGGTTGTCAGTCTGCTCACCTCCTCTCCTTCCACCTCTCCCTCTTCTCCGTATGACCTCCGTCTATGTTCTGGTTTCCCCCAGACCCCCCTCAAGTCTCCTCGTGTCCGCTGTCACCATAGCGCCACACAGTGGTTTGGAAGGGAGACACAGGGGCCCTCAGTGTCCCCTTTGGAACCACCGGGCCCCTTCTGTAGCGTCACACCAAATCTCTTATCCCTATTCCCCACCACTGTCCTCCCCCTGACCCCAGTCACACACTGCTGATCCCAGCATCCAATCTACGCTGTTCCCAGTACCTGCGGGGGTGGAGGGAGGGGAGTGTGCAGTAGTCACAATGATTTTACACCTCCACCGACCCCCAACACCTAAGCCCCCACGCATGCCCTGTGTGTGTGTGTGCTGTGCATTCACCACCCCACCCCCCCACCCCCCCAAAAAAAAACAAAAAGAGGGCTTGACGGATTGTAGAGGAGGAACCAGTTTTATAACATTTGATGCTGTTCTCTTGGCTGTTTTCTAAACTAGGTGTCAATTCACAACAGGCTTCAGACGTACCAGCTCAGCAGCAGCACGGCTCGGAGTCCCGAGAGCGTGGCCCTTCTTAACCACCGGGGGGAGCTGCTTTTCCAGCAGGGGCCCCAGGGGATAACCCACGGGCCGGCGCCTCCACCTCAGCACCCGCAGCTGCAGTCAGCGGCAAGCACCCCTGCCCACCACCTCCACCTCCAGCAGCACCACCAGGCGGCCGTGAGCATGGCTGACCTCAGGCCGGAGACACTCATCCAGTGTCAGCAGATCGTCAAGGTCATCATGCTCGACAACAGCGGCCACGGACGCATGGAGGCCTTCCTCAGCCAAACGCCCACACACCACCACTACCAGCATCACCACCACAGCCACCACCAGCTCAGTCAGTCGGCCATGTCCACCCCGGTCCGCTCGCCGGACGGCTCCCATGGCAACGATGGCCACCAGCCCCCGCTGCCTCCCCCACCTCCGCCTTACAACCACCCACACCAGTATATACCCCCCGACCCCCGCCTCAGTCTACACCGGACCCCAAGCGGCTCTCGGAGCATGGTGTAAATAAATTAATTAGTATTATTTTCCCCACACGTCCACACACACACTCCCCCTTCTCTACCTATTTAAAAAGTACATAATGTACATATATACATACAGATCAAAGAGCTATAAAGAAAAAAAAAACAAATCTCACTTATATGCGTATATTTAAGGAAAAAAAGAAAAGAAAAGTCAAAGTTTTAAAAGAGAAACGGAGAAATAAAATGCATATATATAAAGTTTTACTTGATTCCACATGTATTTTGAAATATTATGTAGTTTTAACAAATTTCTATAACTTTTTGTCAGTTTTAACTCTTGCTAGAGAAAACACAGATATTCTGGATGGGTTCCTTCTAGTTCCGGTATTCACCATCACCGCCAACAACAACAACAACAACAACAACAACAACAACAACAACAACAACAACAACAACAACAACAGAAATGGACTGCGATGGATGGACAACACTCCGAGGACCTTCCGCTTCTGTCTCGCTTTTATCATCCCGAACCTCATGCCTACTGTGCTGTATGTGCGCGTGCGTGCATAGTTGACACTTTAACTGAAAAACGTGTGCCAAAATACATAGCCACCACTAAACACTGACTTCTTTGCACTTGACTAAACGCTAGGGCTAGGAGAAAATAAAAAAACAAACCCTTTCTTTTTGCTTTGAGAAAATAGTCCTGTCATGCTTCTCCCTCAAGGAGCACAAAAAAATGAATAACAAAACTGATGTTTCATAACAAAAACTTATCTCCCTGTTCGCGCTGTCGCTGATTTATTTGTGTGATGGAGAGCCTTCTCTCTTCCTCCTCTGCTTCTCCTGGATAACAACAAGAAAAAAAAAAAACATCCTCCGATAAGCTGCGTTTGTCATCCGCTCCTCTGTTGTGTTGTGGCTCTCTATCATCAGAAAACACTCTCGCTCTATTGTCACTCTCCATAGATCATCCTACAGTCAAGTACGACAGAAAACAAAGGCGACCAATCACGTGGATTGCTGCCAAACCAAAAAGTCAGCCCAGGATGCTCCTGTTGATTGTTGTTTGTCTTTTACTCTCCATGTTTAATATTGCTTCCCAGGAGTTCTCGCCACATGTTTAACTGCTGATGGAGGGATTTTTCTTTTTTTCATATTTTAAAAATTGTTCAAGCTGCTGAAACTGCTCTCGGACTTTTCTAAAAAACAAAACAAAAAAAAAACTACAATTCACATGTAATATATGTACACTGTGCTGTAATCTGTTGTTCATGCAACGCTTCTCCGCCTTTTCAGGAAAACTCGCCATGAATTTCCATGAAGACGCTTCTGCTACAACTGTTAAATGTCAAGGTCTGTGTTTATTTTGATTTGCGCAGACACATATTCAAACCTTTGTGTGTTTTCGTCGTCGTCGTCATCGGTGGAGAAATGCAGGACACCATACGAAACATCCAGACACTGTCTCTTTATGTCGGTACGACTGCCAGGTTTTTTCGTTTCGGCTCCTTGTGACTGTTTTTTCTTCCTCCCTCCTAACCTTTCAGTCTGACATTTTCAAAAAGGCAAAAACTACAGAGGTGCACACACAGCTTTTATTGCAATTGCTGGCATTAATGGTATTGTTTGTGCTGTTGGCTAGCCTGCTTTAAATAGGAACGGGACAAAAAGAATGCATTATCTGATCTCTTTCTCTTTCACCCCAGCCTAGATTGTAAATACGACATTCAAGCTGTGTCGGAAAGGACAAGCAAGCTACCTTTAGCCCCTTCAAAATGCTATAGCCCTGTCACGCGTCCTTCATTCTGAAATAGGTCAGCGGCTGCCCCGGCCTGAACGCGTCCATCTTTTAAACATAAGCCCCACCAGGTACTGCAGAATGGATGTTCGGTTAACTCTGCTCCCATCTGACCTCCACCTGTCTGATTTGTTGATTTATAATCGCAGAGCCGCTGCGGGAAGGTCTCTATCTCATCTTTCTGTCCTTTTCCACTCATGATTTCATTCAGTGGAGAGACAGAGGTTGCAGGAGAAAAACAGTCAGGCATAGATGATAAGTGTGTGCGCGTATGTGCGCGTGTGTGTGAGTGTGTGACCTCACAGTAGCATCCCAACTTTTCCTGTAAACAAATCGAACCTCTCTCCGTCTTGTTTATCCTGGTTATTGCTTTTGTTATTTTTTCACAACACAATGAGAAGAATTAGCGCTTTCAAAATAAAAGACAATTATAATATTTTCTCTGGTTATAAACAAACTTTTAAAGGTTACATTGACATCAGAAGTTGTGATATTATTTCACATTGATGGTTCGATTGGTCAGTTATTTGTTTAAATCAACATTCAGATATGAATGTGATTCTTTTCTCATGCATGCCATCAGTTCAGAGGCTCTGAGTCCCAAGAGTTTTAGATTTTTGTGCATGACTGAATTTGCTCATGGGAGATGATGACAGATTTTTTTTCCGTTTGTGGTTGAACTTAAAAAAAAAAAACAAAACATGATGGCCCAACTTGGTCTCACTCCCAACTCGTCAAATACAGATGCTTGGTCAGTGGCCTACAGAGGCACCCTTGTGGTGGTACGAGACGACCCAGGCAGCGACATTTGTTCATGCTCCAGGCAACTAATGAAGTATAAAGAGCGAGAAAGTCTGCAGTGGGCAGGCAGTATTTGAGGTGGATGGAGCAAACAAACTCTGAACTTTCACTTGAGACCACTGTTCGTGTCCCATGTGAAGCCAAATTTCAATTGAGTTGTTTCAATAATGATGAAGTGTACTGGTAGTAATGGGCAAAAGGGAAACTGATCATCCAGGTCCCCTCAAAAAGTCGGAATTGTTGTAAGTAAGTTTTATTTTCTTTCCAAGTAAGTAGTGTCATAAGTAACTTATAATTGGCTGAATATACTAGTTGAAAGTCGAAGTTCTCTGAGGCCCCTCTCAACCCTGGGTTTAGTCCACGCTCTAGGATTTATTTCTAAATGCAGCTAAACCAAAGTGAGTGACTGAAAATGCTGCTGGAGCAGGAAGATACACTGTCCTGTCAGCCCCAAGTAAGGTAAATCAAGGTTCCAAAAAATAAATGAAAGAAAGAAAGGAAAGAAAAGGGAAAGAAGGCAAACTGACTTTGTTAAAAAAAAAAAAAAAAAAAATCAAAAGATGCATGAGAGAAACATGGATCAAGAGAGGAAGGGTGGGGGGCCTACAAAGACTGCCCATGTACAGGGCCCATAATTTGGTGCTACGCCCCTGGTGACATTGTATCACGTTAATAACAAACGTACATATTTTAAGCCAAACAATGATGTTGTTTCTAAACCTAACCCTGTACTGTAAAATTCTACTCATTTACTGTAAAAGTGGGAATAATTATTTTGAATTATTGTTTAGAAAAGAGATGATGCATATAACTAGGGATGCCCCCTAATAGTCAACCAAATGTTAGTTGACCAGAAAGGTCAAGGTCAGATATTAGTCAGCAAAATTTCAATAGTTGCTTAGTCACAGAAAAAAAAAAACCTCTACTAGGAGCTGCGTCTTGTCAAAAATAAATCAAAACCTATATGACTGGACCACGTGGGAATTTAATTTGAAAGGACAGACACAGGAAGTGGCCACGCTCAGCAGTCAGACAGGAGTCACATTACAAACCAATCACAGATACCTTTCCTTTCTTCTGTAAATATTCAGTCTGATAAATACAGAAAAGTTGATCATGTTAGTGCAGGGCTACCCAGAGCTTTACATCTGTCCCACAGACGATAGGCCTACACACTTATAAACAACACCTGGAGGAAGATCAGCTCTGCAGTCAAGACCTCTGACGCAACCTGCCACTGCGCCCTTGAAAGCTGGCACAAAAAGACACAAGAGTAGCACCCAGTGCCCGACCTCGTGTTTTCCAGGCTGTTAAAGACTTGGCATGTGTGCAACTCCTAATTTCCAGGGCTGGTACCTGCAGTTATTCCACAGGCTAGTTACTAACATGTCGGGCAGGAAATCCAAAGTGTGGGATCATTTTGAGAAGGTGAAGGACGAACCCAAGGTGATATGTAAACTCATCTTCATTGGTCGACTACAAACATGACGTATCATCTGAAACATGGAAGTAGCTACATGCCCATTAGCCCACAGCGTCATTAACAGGCGGCTCGCTCAGTGTGTGGTGTGCACTTGTAGATAAAATATAGGCCTATATTAATGAAGGTTCATTAGTACGTTTTTGTGTTTCTCTGTAATGTAGCACAGTGTTAACAATGTTACTGATACTATTCTTTCTCACACCTTCAACTCAAACCATGGTGTTGCCCCGCCTGAAATATATCATTTAATACTTAAATTAATACTGTAAACATGCGGGCGACTAGTTGGCTAATGACCCTAAATGGTCGGGGGCAGCCCTACATATACTAAGCGTAAATGGACATGCTGTCCCTGAATGTCCAAACTGACGCAGGAGGGTATGTGGCGCATCATATTTTGACGTGACAGACCACTGACCAAGTGTCTCTACGTGACAGTTTGGGAGTAAGAATGTGTTAGACAGCAAAAATCCCTTCATACAGAAAATTAATTTAAAACCACAAATATGAAGCCTCTGCTTTGCCTATCGGTGGCCATTTTGTCCCTGTCTTTCACTCCCCTTTATTTATAGTTGCACAGTTTTCCCTACCTGACAATGTGTTTAAACATTTCGGGGGATAGACATCCTTGTGTGTGTGCAATAAACATGAACATGAGGCACACTGAAAACCCTGACTTTACATTTGAACGGAAACCAATGTAGCATTTTGGGAGCGCAGCGTATGACAAGGAAACGCAGTAGTGGCTAACTTTCTTAAAGAAACTGAAAAAAGGGCTCTGCCATACCAGTGCACCGCTTCATGAATGACATGTGGATCTTGTCTGGCTCTTCAACACTGTGTTTGCTCATACTAGTTAATAATAAAGTGGACATATTTAAGGTAAGACAGGAGGAGACTGAGTGTAACAGATACGAACCATCACCTCCCTCAGTTGGCTTTGAATCCCTCTCTACCTGTCTTTGCAGTATATCAACATGCTATTAAAGATGATTTAAGTCTATTCACAACAATGGTTTGTTTTCGTTCTTGGGTTTAATGATGTCAGTATTTTAAAACCTCCATCAGACAATTTATCCGTACTGTGGAAATAATGTTCATACTGAAATGTCATTTTGTCATGCATAAACTCATATTCACCATTTTGGGTGCTAGTAATAACAAACCTACCCAACTCAGCTCTATGAACCATTTCAGTGTAATTCAGCACATTGTTCGGTTGATATATTTTTTTGTTTGGCTTTCCAGCCTGCAACTTTAATGCGTTGTAAAATTTCTACTCACATCAGTGTTGTTTCCACCAGCAGCAGCAGCAGCACAGAGCTGTTTCCAATAAAAAAGCTAAATATAAAACCCATTGTACACCACCTGCTCAGCCCCAATATAGATGGATGAAGTTTGAAACTAAATTAAGAAGTGATAAAGAAGCAGATTCATTTAGAAACACAAGTACACATTCACACTGAGGCTGTTTGCTCTGCTCGATGAGTAAATCGGCTGATTTTTTTAAAGGGTCTGTCCATGACATCCAAAACATTATAAGCTGGAGACAAAACACGACTCTCCACCACAGGGCTGTAGGCTACATAGGAGTCTTAATATGTTGTCTTGTTGTGTTGTTGGGAGCCAGAATAGAAGGAGTAATGGTTCAAAACTTACATTTTATTGCATACCAGCTGCCACTGCCCGTCAAGAAAAACGAAGACGACTATGGTTAAATGCAATAAGACGAAAAGACTGGACGGAGACAATCATCAAAAATGCTCACGTGCAGCGCACACTTCATATCAGGTTCAGGGAAAAGTATTTCCTGTTGTAGGGATGAATAACATTATGTGTATTAAGGGTTATCATGTCCACCTCATCAGAAATTGGGGAGGTATTAAGGCTCATTTATGCTCCCTTTACGTACGAAAATGTATACGTCCGTTTCAAACGATGTTACCGTCACTGCCCACATACTTCCATGCGCCCTTTACGTTGGCATGGATGTTAACCAATATATCCACCAGGAGGCAGCCCAGCGTCAAAAGTTTATGACAACAACAAACTCAGAAACAAACATGGCGACTGTGGAGGAGATATTGATAATGTACCTCTTGCATAAAAGACAAAAACAGAGGCAGCGTTGTAGGAGGCGATGGTCGGTGAGGCCGTTAAATACATCGCGACTGGAGGACGGATAATTCTTTTCTCTAGTACTGCCGATGAGAGAAATTGAATTGTTGTTTCTTCTTCGTGTCTCACTAGAGCTACGTATCGGGTAGTGACAGCAACACTGCCCCCACTGTTCCCGGTGGTACTGCTCCGTTTGGCCCGTATCCGTAAGCTTTATGGAAACGTGCAGAAATACGGACGAAATGAACGCAGAGCACGGACAGAAGGCTCCGTCCGGATCCGGATCCGGATCCGTATTTAACATTGAGCATAAATGAGCCCTTAAGAGGAAGATTGGATTTCTCCGTAACGCTAACTTTTTAGCGCATTAGCTAACGTTAGCTTCGATAGCAAAACAAACTGGAGGAAACCATTAAAGTGTCATTCTCCTTAGTAAGATTGGCATAGCAATCAACCACAAAGCTTCCTGTCAATCATCCATCCACTGAGTGAGAGCATACGAGTCGGCCAGTCTGGTCCCGTTGGTCAGTGTTTACTTACGTGACCTGTGACCTGACACGGTGCGTTCGTAAATTCAGTCTGACACTCTAAATTAAAATGAGCCTTGTCAATCGAAGAAACAGAGCGTTATATTTCTAAATGAATTAACGAACGGTGAAGTCAATCACACATTCATTCATTCAGCTCGGCACATAGCTGCTCCGTCTTCCCAGTGAGTGCCTAGTACATTCAGACAGCACTCCGAATTTACGAACTGTCCACTTTGTGCCAGAGTGCGCTCGAAATTACTGAATGCACTACTCGTATCATCTTCCTCCATTGTCTAAAAAAAGCCAACAGCTAGGTAGCATTAGCTGATGTCTGGAAAAAATTGTTTTGCATCCACCTAAGCTCTGCCCACCAAAAAAACCATCATACTGTTTAGTAACAGTATGATGGTTTATACAATGCGATGTTCCTTTGCAATGACTCTGGTCCTGGTATTCATGTGGATGTGAGTTGACACATTTCACCCACTCAAACATCGTTGCAGACCAAGTAACCCCCCCGTCTTCATAGCAACAGCTCTCCTTGATGGCAGTACCCCCAACAGGACAATACGGCATGTCACACCATGAAAACTGCTCAGGAATGGGTCTGAGGGTCATGTCAAAAAGCTCAAGGTGTCCACCTTGCCTCCAAATCCCCACATCCCAATGTGATCAAATATCTGTGACACATTCTGGTAACCCACTTCAAAATCCACAGGGCTCAAAGGATCTGCTGCCAAGTGTAACATTTCAGTTCAAATGAGGACCCGAATGCAGAACAGCAGGCAGTTAGGTGGTTTTTAACAAAATGCAAGCTTTAATGTGGCTGGTAAAACACCTCCAAAACAGGCTGGCATAACTCCAAGTACGAAAGAAAGAGGAACCAAAACTAAGAGGCCGTTTACACGTCGCCGGCTATTTTCATAAACGGAAATTTCACCATCTCCGTTTTCAAAAAGATATTCATTTACACTTACCCATGTATATATACACAAGAGCATGCCAAACCTGTAGGTGGCAGTGTAACGAGAGGCTCAAGCCTTCCATGTATCCATTGTCACCATAGCAACATAGGTCGCACTTTTGACACAGGCGCAAGTTCCGTTGCATACTGTGACGTCGGCTGCCTATAACTCCGTTTATCTCCGTTTATCTCAGTTTACATGCAAACGAGCAACCGGAGTTTTCCAAAATCTCCACTCTGGCCGGAGTTTTTAGAAAGACTCGTTTTCAGAGGAGAAATCTCCGTTTGCGTGTAAACGAAGGGCACAAACGAAGGAAGATGTCTCCATTTATCAAAATCACCGTGTACGTGTAAACGGCCTCTAAACTGAGAACAAACCAGGATGGCATGAAGAATAAAGGGATGAACATGAGAGATCAACACAGGCAGGGGAAAAAAGACCATGAATACAGACAAACTGACAAAGGCAAAGACACATATACACAGAGAACTAATCACAAGAACGAGACACAGCTGGAGTGGGCGGACACAGGCAATAGGAGGGAAACACAGGGATTGATTGACAATGAAGACAACAAGGGTGTGGTAGGTAACACAAGGTTGGAGCAAACAAGACTGATAGAAGACAGGTGTGCAGGGATCACTCTGGAACAGGGAAGGACTAACGAGACTGATGCAAAGCAGGAGTGTATGAAAACAGGTGGGAAACAAAGGAAAAGTAGGAAGTAAGACGAGGCATGATACATGAGGAGAGTTCCAATCCAAGAAGGCCCTACCATGGATCTAGGGTACCAGAATGTCCCACAAATGCTCTATCTGATTGGGATCTGGGGAATTTGGAGGCCAAGTCAATGCCTTGAGCTCTCTGTCACAT